CGCAGATCTTTTTTGATTGCTTATATATTTTATGACCATGGTCTATTTTAGTAATTTTGTATGAAAAAACAATGTATCTTACCCTAAAGATACAAATGTTATAATATTTAATCTCATTCTGATGAACGCATAACATATTTCTGAAGAATTTTAAATTAAAATTCTTTTTGACTTGATTTCATATTAAATAATAACTTATTTTGATTTTAATATCAATTATTATATGATGTACATAATTCACCATTTCTATTAGAAATCAATTATTTACAGGGTAAATAAACTGAAAGCAATATTATAGTACAGTGATTCTAAAATTTAAACAATTACCCAATAATAAAAATTGTAGACACCTTGTGAAATCAAGTGTCATGCCTAGGAGCATTTAAGTGGATAAAAACAACAAATTCATGATCTCGGTAGGTGTTGACTATATCAGCAGTGGTCTCAAAAGTGGGTTCAAATAAAGGATACAACAAAAAATTGGGACTGAATCTAGTGGTCTTAAAAGTGGGTAAGCAGGATGGTCTTAATTCTAGATCATATTATCATTTACATAAAGATCAGAAAATTTCTTCCTTAAAAATGATTTTAATAGCGCGGTGGACTTAAATGGGGTGGCCTTAAGTCAGGATTCTACTGTAAATATATATCCGTTCTAAAAATAAAAATTGTTCGTTTCAACTAAAAATTATTTAAAATATTACCGAAGGATAAAGAGACCTTAATGACAAAAACATTTTGTGTGAATAAAACGCAGCATATATTCAACCCGCTATTTGAACTTGTCTAATGCTCATTTTATTGCAGAAGACCATTATCAATTAGGCCATATGATTTATTTCGACCTGGTCGGAATTAACAGGTGTTAACACAAATAACACATGCTTTGGATGTTCGGTAAGGAACTCTTTTTGTTCTAGCATACTTACTAAATTATAAACATTGATGTAAATTTTTACTACTTCAAGTGAGCGCTGACAGTCAAGAAAATACCAGGATTCCAAATCAATGTCTGAAAAACAGCAATACCTCGTTTATGATATTTGACTTTGAATTCAGTTATTGTTAAGAATTTAGCAAATAATCAGCACAAACTGTACATAGAACGGATACCTTATTATTTCCAAATACATTAAAACATTTGGATAATGATTGAGTTTGTATAACAGTTTTATATTTAGGCTTAATATATTGGATATCTTTTGCAAATATGCGTATTTCAAGACGCATTGTAAAAACGTACCGTGATGAAGTTTTGTGAGTTGATTTTGATTTAGAATAATATCTGAAAATAACAAGCATAACACTTTTAAATAATGTCATTCAAAAATATATTACGCATTTTAACATAACCCCGTTTTGTCAGTAAGATTAATTATTTTAAAACTAAAAGCAGATTTTGTATTATTTTCGAGCAATTAACATAGTCAATACCTTTTTTTGTAACTGCAGTTTCATTTTAATTTGATTATGTTTATATAATGCACAATGAAATGAATAAAATAAAAGAACAAAACATAATGATTGTCAAGATTATTTTGCATTGTATGTCCAAGATGTTTTATATTTAATGATATTATAAAATGCTGTAATCGAGAATTACCTGTTTCTGTTCCATTATCAAAGTTCACGACTGAAAACAATTAGAAACAAATTAAATATTTGAACCTCCAACCTTGAAATTTCATGAACATAAACCAATCATAACTAAAGCAAGACAATATATAAACAGTTACTATCAATTCGTGACTTTGAGAAAGTTTTTTTTCAAGTATAACTAAACACACTTTGTATGCAAACCTACCTCTTTGAATTAAACATTCCTTTACCAATATAGTTAAACATACATATAATGAAATTGCCTTAAAGACCATACGTAACATTTCAACCCAGAACCCGTTAAACACGTTTTTTCACCCCCTATTGGTTGTCTCAAATGGTGCAAAAATGCCTTATTTAGGCCCAAAACACCTGCTTTTGTTTGAGAAATTTTGCTTAAAAATGTGACCACATTTTCGGCGCCGCCCCCCATTCAGGGTGTTGCCAGAAGAGATGTGCCTAGAAAATTTTAGACTTGTGAGGCTAAAAATGACCCCAGGTCGATCATAAGGTAAGGTGTAACCAACGCTAAAAAGCCTTTGACCCTATCTTAATCCATTGAGAAGTTTCAGCACTTTTCAATCAATTTGATGAGAAAAATGAACGCAAAAAAGTGATTTGTGGCAATTTTGAGATGTCCTCTTGTTAACATTGTAACAGGAAATTTAAGACTGGGTGTAGTTCCAAAGGCAATGGGTCAGTCAACATTTGTAACAAGTTTGATTAGTATTGAAGGAGTTTTTATAGTTTATAGCAATTTGAACTTGTAACGGGAATCTTTCCAATGAAAATAGCCATTTTTCACAAAATGCTCATGAAGTGATGGGTAAATTGGTTATACACGTGTTTTATAACTTTTTTCTTTAATCTAGATATAAACGCTTATCACAAAAAATACACCTATGTAACACAATATTAAACAGAAATAATTCCTAAAGAGATATTGTTCTTTGGAATGTTGTCTTGTCTCAGTTTTTAGGTTATAATTCAAACATTTTGTACTGTTTGATCAACCAAGAGAATAACTAATAAGAGACTATGCTTTTTCATTTCTGATAAAGAAGATAAGTTTATATGAATTACAAAAGAAATTAAAAGTCAGAGTATAATTTGTAGACACGTGACTTTCATAGCAATCCAGCAACTCAGAACATAATTTGTCTGAATAGAAGAACCTTTCATTGTGTATGTTACAATTGGACTATACACTTTTTTTACTTCGTATGATTAAAAGGCCGAACTGTATTGTTATAATAAAATAATGCTTTAAATCAACATACCTTTTGGGTTGTAAAAACAGTGCGTTAGTCCTTCAGTCACTGTTGAAACGTCAAATGTTGGGCAATTCGTGTCTGAATCCTGTTTTTAAGGGAAAAATGTATAAGTAGCAGTTACTTTTTCAAAAACCATTTTACAATTATTAGTTTAAATAACGCTTTTTTCGAAGATCTGGATAACATATGATGTATGTTGTGAACAAAGACAATTAAAGATAACATGTGTACACCAATCTATTACACTCGACTGATTTTCCAAATTGTGTATGCTGAAAAGGATAAGGGTGGATACCAAGAAAAGAAAAAAAACTTCAAAACGTCAAAGAAACATGGCTTTTTAAAAGTATAATTTGTCAATAAAAGTATAATATTAGTTTATACAAATTTATTTTAGTTCGATTGCTATAAGCTTATTGAAACACTCTCGAATCCGTTCCTGGAACCAACCAGTACTAAGCAATGAATGTAAAGTTTCTTGCTCAAGGAAACAACGGCTTGCCCAATACAGGGTTTGTACCCACGCGGTCAGCAATCCTAAGATTACTAGTCGAACGCGTTAACCTCTCGGCCATGCCGCCGCCAAAGTATAATATTGATGAAAGTATGATATAATGTATTAACATGTTAACATTTTCTATCATCATTTCAAGTAAATACAATGCTTTTATTGATTTTATAACACTTTTTAAGTTGTATTAGATCAAAATATACCCAAATAATTGTACGCAAATAAAGTCAAAATGTCATACGAAACAATATTTTTTCCAAAGCAATTTTTTATCCAAATTTCACAGATCAATTATATTTATGCATAATGACATTATCTCAATGTTCTGTTTGATACAGAAAATTAAAAAAAGTTTCAACATGTTCATTAGATATTAGTTCAACCGCACATACTTCACAATTCAACTCATTTCAATGACATTTACAACGTGCTGTTCTTTACAAAAGCAATAAATTATTTCAGAACAACTAGCACGAAAGGGCTTTATGACATTGGAATAGGTTGAAGCCCTATTTAATCAATCCCATGTCTACTGGATTTTGGAAGTGTTGGCATAGCGCAGTCTGCATATCCACAAACCATGGTCTAATTATGCACTCTCTTTAAATGAAAGTCTATTGCATCCTTTGTTGTCAAGGTTGATTCTGGTTTCTTTGTTATGACAAACAAATATACCAGGCCACATAATCTGTCTGGTTTACATCATAGATACGACAGGAAATTTTTTGCAGCTGAGCTAATCGTTTCATCAGTACGATCGCCTGAACAATTCACGGTGTTATTTAAATATTTTTTCATGAAGACCGTTTAGAACAGTTTGCAAAATAAAAGATGATGTTGTATCAAATCAAGTGCATGACATGTTAATATATTTGTTTTAATATTGTTTGGTAGGCCACCTGCAATAATATTTATGCCAAATTCTGCTTTTTTGCGATGTTTCCGACAGCATCCAAAGTTCCATACAGAATGGACGTGAGAAGTGACACACAAGACGAATAAGGACGTATGCATATTTGGATGTTATAACTTCTTTTTAATGTTGAGAGTTAACAACATGCAAAATAAATCTTATATCTACTTCCCCGTAGATTGAGCTAATGTGTGAATTATCTGATTTTTTTCTCTGAAAGATCTTAAATCCTTTTCATCCACACATCATCTTGAAGTTTAAATTTTTTCGTCAACGGGTATCTGTGGGATCATTGCAACAGACATTAATTGTGCAAAATCTGCTTTGTTTTCCGGAAGAACAAAGAAGTTTCTTAAATTCTTTGAAAAGGGATTTCACGGACTTCGACTAATCGTCTTATTAGTTTGACTGTCTTTGCCCTCCTTGTCATCGTCTGAATTGTGATGGAAACATCACTATAACGGTCAAAGACAACATCAACATATCTGATAGATCTCCAAATGTTTCTGCATTTTGTGGTTTTCCAATTGCAACAATAAGAGCTTGACCATCAATCATCAAACATGCGACCGTTTCATTCATCTCAAAAGTCTTTTGTCGACTTATCCCTTCCATCAATTTATCTGCGAGAACTGCTGTTTTCTAGTATGAAAAGATCCATACATTTTGGCTAAGAAGACAGGCACGGACATCCGGTCATGTTCTAAGACTGACTGCCAATCAGCTTATCGTCAATCCTCATATGATGCAGTAATTTAGAGCTGTAAAACATTTCTGGCAATTTCGTGATAACAGTCTTATCCCTTTCCTTCCCGTCTTTTCTAATGGAATATCATTTGGCAAATGTTTGAGCATTTTGCTTTTTCAAAGCAGAAAGTATCTTTACAATTTGTCTTTCTTCTTGGTTATTTCTGATCAATATGTTTTACACATACTTTTAATCTGTTCCCTTTAAAAGGACTCCAGGTTTTTTGACATGACGGGACTGGAAATAATTTTTTGAGATTATTACTCCATTTGATGTAAATCTATACTTATATCTTATGTACAAAATTTCCGATCATTAGCTCACTCCGTTTTTCCAGAACAATTATTATTATAGTGAAAAATGACCAAAAATTTAAAAGCGTTTAAACGCTTTTCTTTCAAATCTGACTGAGAATAGCACAAACATATGATTTTCAATGTATTTTATCTGGTTGTATTTCATTTATATTTCTGTTTTAAGTGCTCATGTTTTATCTATGCGAAAAATCGACATTTTATGTTTATAAACCTCAGTGGAGTTCCTTTGAAGCACTCAGCAATGATTCCTTTCTTTTCTCTGTAGCAAGATCTTTTTAGCAATACTGTGAATATTCAATGTGGGATCTGAATTAAACACTTTAAACCTTGACATGTACTTCTTTACGAAAGTTAATCTACTGTATCACGTTTTTTCTAGACTTTGGTGCTTCAGGTTGTACATATGTTTGGCCAGTACTCATATTGTACATTGTATGTGTGTCTTCTGCTATATCCGATTGTAGATTTTATGATAATGTCCATCAGCAAAGTGCAGACGTTGCATCAGTGAAGTCAACAATGCCCCAATCACTTTGTCTTGTACCATGTATCCATTCATGTGTCTTATTTGTAATATCAAATTAGGTGCTACCTATGACACGAAAATCTCATATGATTTATGATTTAGCGTAACATGTCTAGTGTACATGTTAACCAGATCTTTCTTGCAGGTATTTTGTACTGTAAACAAAACGAATAAATTGGTGGTGTTCAACCTATCATCTGAAGGAATATTCCAAAAGTCTTCTAACGTAAAGGGAGACCACTGCGCATGCACCGGCGTTTGAAAAATCCCGTTCGCCATTTTTGTTAATCTTTAACCACAGTTGTTGTTTTAACTTTATTTTTTAGTGAGCTGATTTATCAAAAAGGATATGTTATAGTACATTTTATACTTATAATCGTTACTATACTTCTTATCAATCAAATGCATATTTATTATCGGATTGTGTATATCATTCTTTCACTAGAAGTGTTATTTAGCATGCGTCTGCTAACAATATTCTGAATTATGTAGACGCTCATTTAAAGCGCTTTGATATCTATATCTAGCTAAAAAGAATTTCAAAATGGCGGCCCCCAGTTAACTGAGGATTTTTTCACAGCTCATTAGGTATAGAATATATATTTTGTGAAATTTTCATTTACTTTTTATGTGATTTCATTTAAACTGATACGAGACATTTATTGAAGAGCGCTACAACCCTCGCCGGGCCCCGATCGGACTTTCAGCGTAATATGAAATTAGGCAAAGCCTATGAACGGGGAAGTCGTTAAAAATTCCTTTCATTCTTTCCGTTTTAAAATTGTCATTCGGTAAAATTTACATGCACCGCTTTCGTTTTCACTCGGAACACTCGACGTTTATTATTTATCCGAAAAGTTGAGATTTGTTCTGTTTTCGGAATACCCCGCCTTTTATCATTGAGTTACATTGTAAATTGCGGCGCCCGACAAGAACTGACACTGAAAATTTCATTGATAGGTATAGAATTCCATATATTTTTTAAATTGTTTTTATTTAATTTTCTTTTAAATATACACGTGTAGTCTATAGCCGGGCAAGCCAAAGCCCGGACCCGCTTTGCGGGCCCGGTCTTTGACTTCCCCGTATTACCTTTGCGACTATTCTGAAACAAATCTTTAACGGCAAAAAACATTTTTGAATTCTTCTAACACTGGGCGTGAACGCCTATACATTTCAGCTAAGTAAATTGAACCCCACTTGCGTAATTTAGATAATCATACCTCATGAAGAATGGAGGCATCTTATAAATGATTGTTGTACAACACCAATCACCCGTCACGTTGTCACCAAGCAAACATAATCAGAATTGTAAAAAGATCTACTTATGTCTACAAGCTGTGCATGGCATTCAAGATTCGCCTCTCGTGTATCAGACGATGTATAGCCAAAGTCTGGCTTTATAATCTTCCACAAGGCTAGAACAGTCAGTTTATGTATCCCGTCCATTTTTTAGCTTTTCCTTGAAACACCTATTTTGTTAGACCAGAACCCGGTAATCCACTTTCAACCCAAACTTCAGCTAATCCACTGCAATCACTATGATCATCGATAACTTTTAGAAAATTCATGTATATATGGAGTACGCCAAGTCGTGAAAAAACTTTATTCTCGTTTCCAGGAATCTCCTATCTAAAATTCATTTACTTATAATTGTAGATATACTATGATAACTGAATATTCATGTCCATTACTTGCAGAAACTACCAAGCATCTGCAAATAACTGTGTTCAACGAGTTATGTTCATGAGAAGGGGCAACTAAAACGTGTTCCATCCAGTTCAAATGTTTTTGTACTTCACAACATACATAAATTGCGATGTCAGCTGCCCTTGTCTCATGCATGTGTCATCACTGTTCGTTTTAAACCAGTTGATGTTTATTTGTGATTTAAAGTCTTTTGGCTGGCATCCTAGTGGTCATTTTAAATGTGTCAGTCAAATAGTGAAGATAATAATTGCAGTTTTTTATCAATCTTTATCGCATTCAATTAACAAAAAATATATAATGAAAAACACCCTGATACCACTTGTACTACCATTCCTCAAAATCAGTCATGTCTATATTTATTGTTATACTTGTTATGAAAACAATTAAATATGTTCTATAATTATATTTTTTTTGTACTGGTAAGAATTTTCTTACTTATTTAGTAAAAATTAAGTTTTTTTAAATAATTAAGTTATAAAAAGAAAATTAAAACATTGCCTTTTCAAGAATGAAATCCGTTTCAAGCATAGTGAATGTCATATTTGTTCGAGTGTCATCTGTGCCTCTACAGTTTAATCGTTTACACATTGAAATGTTGACAAACCTTTTGGATTGCCCTTAAATGGAAATTAAAAAAACAAACTTACTTATTTGCATCCTACTTACATAGTACATTTGAAACAATACTACATACTAAATTGCAACAAAACAATGAACAAATTTGCAGATCTGATTTAATGTGTGCAATGCAGAACTGAAAAATGCAACGTCAACAAACCTAAATGCCTACAAATTCTTAAATGTCATGTGGTTGAATATTATTTTAATCGAAAATTACATCAATATATTAAGTTCAAAATTATATGTTTATAACACACACATACCTTCTTTATTAGGAACTTCAATATTAGGAACAATACCATAAGACTCAAAGTCTCTGACGGGAAGTGTTCGGCTTGATTCTTCAAATTCTAGAAATATTAAACAATATTTTACTTTTATCTAAAAAGTAAAATATATGAAATGATAGAAATTCATTTAGTAAAATGGGGCTTATTGGCGATGTCTGAACAAATATAATATAAAGGAGAGATCATGAGATAATAATCAAAGCAAATATTTCAGAAAATGACGGCACACTTTTGATTATGTTTATGAAAGATCAAATAACGTGCATTTCTCTTTTGGGCTAGCAACGGCGTAACAAAAATATATTCAACTCATGTAGCAAATAATTGACAGAGATATACCTAAAGGACACGTTTGTCCAATCTTATAAATGCTGTAGTTTCCTGGAATCCATTGTCCTTGATCAAGTTTAGTTTCATTTCGGTATTTTACGCAAAAATACAGCTTCAAATCCTCCGTTTTGAAAGGTGGTTTGAAAAAGTCATCGTCTTCGAATAAAGACTTCCGCTCCGATTCCCTGTCATAAAGTGTAGAGGAACTGTCAGAACTGTTACTTGGTACGACCATGTTCAACTTCAAAAAACTTTTAAACCATCCGCGGGACTGTGACTCAGGACAGCCATACTTGGACATTGGTATTGCATATGGCCCAGGTGGCCACATACTCTGTTGGTCTCGTCTTTCTATGAACAAAAAATGTAATGCGTTCGGGTGAAAATAATTTATACCAACACATGTCCATACAAAGCAAAAGTCTTTAAAATTTACAAGAAAAGTTGGTATCAGCTTTTTATTGCTTTTCCTGGTTTAACTCAAACAAGAGGGCCATGATGGCCCTGATGTCGCTCACCTGTATAAAGGCACCCGGAGCGGGGCCAGTTTAAACCCATAGGGCTTTTATTTGAACAAACTTGGAAGACAGCCATTAGAAGATGTTTCATGCTCAACATCTAAGCTCTAGCTCATTGGGTTTTTTTAAAAGAAGATTTGTAAATTTTTACTATACACATATAGTTAAAACCAATGACAACCCTGGGGCGGGGCCAATTTTGACCCCAGGGCTTTTATTTGACCAAACTTTGTAGACAATTACTAGAAGATGTTTCATGCTTAATATCTAAACTTTAGCTTTTTTGTTTTTTTCAAAGAAGATTTTTTAAGTTTTTGCTATATACATATAAGGAAAATCAATGACCCCGGGGCGGGGCCAACTTTGACCCCAGGGCATTTATTTGAACAAACTTGGTAGACACCAATTAGAACATGTTTCATGCTAAATATCTGAGCTCTACCTCTTTGAGTTCTTTAAAAGATGATTTTTTAAGTTTTTACTATATGCATATAGGGAAAATCAATGACCCCCTGGGGCGGGGCCAATTTTGACCCCAGGGCTTTGATTTGAACAAACTTGGTAGACACTCATTTTAAAAGATGTTTCATGCTAAATATTTTAGCTCTAGCTCTTTGGGTTCTTTAAAAGAAGATTTTTAAAGCTTTTACTATATGCATATAGGGAAAATCAATGACCCCCGGGGGGAGGGCCAATTTTGACCACAGGGCTTTTATTTGAACAAACTTGGTAGACACCAATTTAGAACATGTTTCATGCTAAAGATCTTAGCTCAAGCTCTTTGAGTTCTTTAAAAGAAGATTTCTTAAGTTTTTCTATATGCATATAGGGAAAATTAATGACCCCCTAGGGCGGAAACAATTTTGACCCAAGGGCTTTTATTTGAACAAACTTGGTAGACACTCATTAGAAGATCTTTCATGCTAAATATCTTAGTTCTAGCTCTTTGGGTTCTTTAAAAGAAGATATTTTTAGTTTTTACTATATGCATATAGGGAAAATCAAAGACCCCCTGGAACGGGGCCAATTTTGACCCTAGGGCTTTTATTTGAACAAGCTTGGTAGACACTCATTAGAAAATGTTTCATGTTAAATATCTAAGCTCTAGCTCTTAGGGTTTTTTAAAAGAAGATATTTATTTATTTTTTTGGGTTGCCATGGCAACCAGAGTTCTGCATTGAATTAAATTCTTTGAACAATTTTTAAAGGGGACCAACAAAGGAACATTCCTGTGAAGTTTGGATAAAATTGGCTTAGTGGTTCATGGGGAGATGTCATTTATAGTAAAAGTTTACGGACGGAAGGACGGACGACGGACGGACGACGGACGGACGGACGACGGACGGACGCCGGACGAAAAGCGATCACAAAAGCTCACCCTGTCACTTTGTGACAGATGAGCTAATAACAAAATGACTACTTCTCTCCAAATCATAGCATTTGGATTATTTTTCTTGATAATATCCGCTTACAAAAACAAATGAGACATCTTCACCAAAAAGTTTCTTCTACGACCTAAACCACACGGCCACTATAAATAATATTACCTTGAAATATTTCAAACGACGCAATACATTATATTTTACCTCCGTTTAAAGGCATATAGAAATAAAAATGTGGAAACCTTAAAGGTTAAAATCAAAAATGCCGTAGACTCGGTTATACTGTATATTATTAGATGAAAGCTTCAGTCCAAGCAAATTAATCCTACTCAAGCATTATTCAGTATGATACTGTTAAAAGATACACGCACAAAACAGGCGTAAAATTACAAACATTATGGTATCTGGGTTTAAAGTGTAACATTGAAAGTTTCATGGTGACCGCCGTATAAATTCATGAACAGTAAATTGCATATTCCAGTACCGTTTATTAAACAGAGCCTGCAATATTTTCAATTATGTTGCTTTTGGCTTTCTTTGGGATTTCTGTTTTATTTTTATTTTATTAATCCCTATTACGCTTCATAATATAAAATGACACTGTTAAACGTTTGTTCGTTAGATTGGATTAAACACATATAGGAATGGAGACTCTATATACGCGTTAAGACTGTTCGACTTTCTTTAATAATGACACGTTTACTAGAACATATATCTAAATATATAAGTTGACAAATATTTTCAAATAACGAATCACAAGCCATAGATAAAACATAGATTGACAAAGGGAATATTATAATAGTAAAGTTCTAGGTGATATCACACCTTCTTGTAACATGTGTTCTCAAAATTAGGCAGATGATGAAATCCAATTTCAATGATTTGACTTACACTTAAAACCTTACAGCAACAATGGCATAAGGACATTGATAGCATGTTCTCAGCTTTGAAGCAGTTGTAAACTTACCATATGCACCATATGCTGAGCTACGTTAGAAACAGATTTCAAACAAAATTAAAGCTTAACGACATTTATTAAGACAAATAAAAAGATAAGTTAATTCTGTGTCTGTGTTACATTATTATTTCAGATTTCCATCACTCGTTTTCTATCGTAGCCTTGTATTAACTAATAATGAGAGAAATGTCTTCGAATATGATAAGCTAAAAGTGTCCATATCATTATGCATACAGGCCATAGATAAAACATGTAACAGTACAATGTAATGAAAATAACAATATTCTTTAAACACCATCCAAGTGCACTTATGCGCGAAACAATAACTTTATAATTGATATCATATAAAACAAAAGTATCGGTCTTCTAAGGCAGCCAAAGGTTCTAATCATATATATATATCATGTATATATACCAGTACCATTATATCATACAACTATGCTAATAAAGACAAAGTCTTTCAGCTTTATTAAGAAGGGTTTTACTTTCAATAAATTGAGATTTTTAAGAACGATAAAATTATATCAGAAACATATTTACATACCTTTACTGATATTAAGGTTTTCACACGTTACTTGACCCAGATAATTTGAAGTGCATCTTGAATATGGAAACTCGGTCGGTTTGTACATGAACTGATGTTGACGGGATACTAAAAAAGAACAAAGTGAATGAAGAATTGATATTAACATTGTATGCTGATAATTACAAAACGTGCTTGTATTTTTTTGATACATGTACGAGGGGTTATCCAAAAATTCGTGGACTTTCTTTGTTACGTAAAATTATTTTGAGAAATAATTTTGAAATTCTTACACGGCTAAGAAGAAAAAACAACAAAAAAACACAATTATTTTTTATGTTAGTAGCCTCTGATATTACAACAATATTCAATTTTAAATAAACACATGTTGGCAACAGGGGCGCAATAAAAAAGTAATAAAGGTCAACGTCATAATAACGTATTAACGTTTCGCAGTCAATGACCGTAACTGCTTCTGAAATTATTGTCCATCACTAATGTTTTATGCCACTTAAACACTTTTGATCGTGAAATCTTATTTTCACTGTTCGCCTGCTGATTTTTTTCAAATGTTTTGGTAGGTATCATTCCAAAATTACAACACAATTTTATGATCGCTCAAGTTTATAATTTCTGCGTGTCCGTCATTTTCAACAAAATTTCATGGAAATGACGTCCATAACTTAAAAAAATTACTTAGACGACATCATAAAAGAAACACGCGATGTTTAGCAGGGACTCTACGTTAAGTATTAGTTATTTAGCAAAAAAAAAAAATACGATGACTAACTGTGCTTTTCTACCGTGCGCCGGTAGCCGTGTATGTGCTTATTTTAAAGCAATATAAAGCCATTATTTATAGATGCAGTTAACTGTTCCTTTCCAAATGTGTTGATAATATTCTACAAGGTATGCTGATGATATTTCATTACAATACACGTTGACGTTCAAGAGATAAAAAGAAGTCCACGAAGTATGTATTTTATGTATTTATGTATTTTGTATTACTGTTTGTGCCCAATAATTGATACAGAGAATCATGTTAAATTAAATATATATATCTTTGTTAAACGTAGACGGAAAATGAAAACAAGCAACACACAAAAAACAACCCGAAAAACACTTTGAGCATAGAAATATCTCCCCCTACATCAGGCATCCCGGCGGCTTATTAAGTATTTTATTTTAATACTTAAAGAATTAGAATCAATATTTCAGGTAGAGAAACTTATATAAAATAATACGTCACTGACGAAGTACGGCGTATTTTTATAGCTGCTACAAAACCCTGTTCCTGTGTGAATGAAATTCCTGGAAGACCCCTCGACAGCAATCAAACATTGTAAAAAGGTTTATAAAATTTTGAGTTGTCCATCTTCATAATTTATCACATACCATTGTATCTTTGTTATATAGTTTTAAGTGAAGATCTTGGATATTTATATCTATGCACTGACCATGTTAAGTTGTCTGTAACTTACGGTATTGTTCAAGTATCTTACTTAACAAAATAAATATAATAGAGAGAAGCGACTTTGGTTCTTGAATATTCATGTTTCAAATAGAACAACACTTAAACAACATAATAAATTATATTTATATTTATGTCTCAAATAAATAAGTGTGACTTTTGAATTTCATGCTACGTCATTGTATCCTTTTATTTTGCAAACACCGAATAGATTTAACAATTCAGATGCTTCGGGGAGAACTTACAATTCTCTTCAAACAAATTATAAACCTTGTAGGAAAAATTCCTTTTGGTGTTAATTCTAGCATACATTACTTCTACAGAACAGACCTGAATTTAACCATCACCAGTTTTTTTCCCCGTTACGTTTATGCCGAAATGAGAGCCACTCCAGTCTTGCCAAAAATAATTTAAGTTTGAATTATACATACATATATATATTGAATATAACATGTATAATAATTCAGTTGTTGGATTGATGTTAAGCAATTTAAGGTTCCTAAAAGCTGCCAAATTCATTTGCATTGTATTATTTGACTAACATTTGACTGTCATTAAATATGAATGAATAGATAAAAAATTACATCGGTACACTTTGTTATATGAATGCATGTATATCTCTTTTATAAAAGAAATGTAATGACATTGACTGCGATGAAATAAGTTTCTAATCTGATTTACAAAAGGAAGCACAATATTTGATGAATCGATTCGTTCTTGTCGAAATCCGACAAGTCATTCATTGTTAAGTCAAACACAAAACACAATCATCACTGCATATGTTAGAAATGACAAAATGATATTTATTAAATCACTTAAAAGTGCTAGAGGGGCAGAAAGTTGTATCATAAATTGTTAGGTTTATAAATGTGTTTGATATTACATGACTTACATGTGGTTAAGTAGAGGCCGTTGATGTCTCTAATTTCAATAATAGAAAAATATACAGCACTGTTGATATTACCTGTCAAACAGATAACGGCGCTTTATTGCAATTCACCGTATCACAAAAAAGAAACATTGCCATTATAAAGCATATTGTTTATAGTTTCTAAAAATCCATTTCTTAAGTTACGCAGCCCGGGCAAAAGTACAAAAATTAAAAATGGCCGCAAATATGGCCGCCATAAATTACAAAATACCATATAATTTTTGTTTCTTGACTGTTTACTTTACGATTTTGTACAAAGTAGTTTCAATTGCACAATATCAGATAGAATATGGCTAATTTTTTATTCAATCAAGTAAACATGACAATTATATGGCAAATTTTTAAATTGTCACGATCAATTTACCAAAAAAGTGGTAAAGAATAGCATTCTTTGACAATGTGATGACTTTCGGTTTTCGGTTTTAACACAATAAAAATGGAAATTTAAAGTGTGAACATTAGCATAACAAGACGAGTAAAGCATAATAAATCATTTTCTGAGCATTTATGCTGTTAGAGAAGATCTTCAAAAGTAGGTGGGGTAAAATTACCAAAAATATTTGAAATTACAATGCTCCCAAAACTTGCCTTTACTTTATACTTTCAGTTTAATATGTTTTAATTTATGTTCTTTATAATTTGAACAGTTCTTGATATGTTTAGCATAAAAATTCATTACCTGAGCATTTATCAAAGAAGAGTACAGTTTCAAAAGTAGATGGGATAAAATAACCGAGAAAAAAAGAGAAAAAAAGGAGAAAAAACGTTCAAAATTATTAAGCTCCTAAAACTTTCCTTTATTTTACAATTTTAGTGTATTTATCATGTAATTGAATTTTGTGATAAGAAATAAAAAGATTGTATAACATTAAAGAAGAACTAAACATCATGTCATCGCCATAAAATATAACATTTATCAAATTGCTCTTTTTCTCTATAATATTTGTTAAACAATTATGTGATGGCATCTTATATGTTTTGAAAACAAAAATATTGTATGAATAAATACTTTTTAAAAAGGATTTTTTAAATATATACTTTGATATAAACTTTAGTTTTGGTTTACACATTATTAATATCATTATTATCAGCTCGACTATTATTAGCTCGACTATTCGAAGAATATGGAGAGCTATTTCAGTCGCTCCGGTGAGATATTCAATTGAAACTTACAATACTTGTTTATAGTAACAATGTACATCAGATTGACAAGTTGATAACGCTGCGTACAATATTTACAGAATCGTGCCCCTTTTTAATTTTGAAATTTGGTAGAAGTTTTTTGTAAAGTCAAATATCTCAAATATTACTTGAAATATTTAATTGAAATTTACAAAACCTTTTTATAGTAACAATGTACATCAGTTTGCAAAGTAAAATAACTCTGCCTGCAATATTCGCAGAATTATTTGCCCTTTTTGATACAAAGAAATTTTGGTTTAAGGTTAAAGGTCTTTAGAACTATCAAAGATATTTACTTGAAACTTTACACATGTACTTTAGGGTCATAAATTAATACATTACTCCATGTACTCTTCCATGTATTTTGACTGAATTATGCGTCTTTTTGTACTAAAAAAATCTCCTTTTTTTGGTTACTTTTACATGCAAGTTTTGCATATCTCTGAAACTATTAAAGATACAAATTTTGAAACTTGAAACTTCATATCTATATTTGTGGTAATAGATAATGATCACAGAACAGCTATGATATCTGTGTCAAGTATTTAGGCTGATTTATCTCCCCCCTTATTATTTAGTCTCTTAGTTATTGATTACAATGTAAGTTTTACATATCTCAATAACTATCAAAGATATTTATTTGAAACTTCTCATATGCATTTCAGATCACAATTGTATGCCACTGACCAAGATCCATAATTATATCTCCCCTTTTTCAACTTAGAAATTCATGGTAAAGTTTTTGTTTGACGTATGCTGTTATCTCCATAACTACTGAAGGGCTTGTGCCTTTTTTTGGACAATTTTATGCATTCATAATAACAAAGCAGTGATTTACTTGATAAAACATACATCTTAATAACAAGCTTTTGTACCTTTTCAGACAATTTTTTATATTCATATAGGTAGGCATTATCATACTTAATAAAACACCCTTCTGACAACTTTTTCGAATAGTCAAGCATTACCGACCTCCGACAGTTCTTGTAAATTTGACTACTATATGATCTATCATGACAAAAGAAGAAGTGGTATTGTCATTGATGAGAGGAGTGTTCATTAATGAATTTTTGTGCAAATGTCATACTGAATAGAATCACAGTCAACTGAAAAGCAAAATGTGTTTAAGCTTTAATGAACATATCAATTTAACTTAAAACACAATTTAAATGCATAATTATATCAATACAAGAACTGTCGGTCGGACAACAACACTCGACTATTCTTAGTACTTGATGGTAAAAAGCCTTGATAATGTGAAATTTTCTGAGTTAACAAAATGGCATTTTTTTTCTTTAAATCAATGTTACAGTTACAGGCCTTCGAGAGAATCCTATTATGCACCCAAAGAAGAGTATAAAATTTCAAATTGTCAATAGAAAATGAAAATATCCGAGGTGGTATGCAAACCTAAATGTAAATTTTAAGTTGAAAAAGGGGCATATTTCTGTCAAAATGCTTACTTAAGTTACCTCCTCCTGTCTAAAGTTACCTCCTCCTGTCTACAGGTTGGGGTTATGATGGTCAACAAGTGTGCACAGTTAC